CAAACAAACAAACAAAATCAAGAATAAGTAAAAGGACAAAAAAGAAAAAGAAACAAAGGCAGGCAGAATTTTTGTCCCTGTCGGGAGAAGTGTCTGCTCTGTGGTCACCAGACACCTAAGGAAGTTTTCTGGAAGGGAGCCTCTGGCAACCCTTGCGGTTCCCATTCACAGGAGATGTGCCCTGTTTTCCACAACAGGCAGCCTCGCCACCAGCCCCAGGCGGGAGGAAGCTCTCTTCTCAGTGTCTGCAGGTTTGTCCCTAAACGCTACGGAAGCAGCAGCTGCCAGGGGAAGGGGATCCTGCTCAGTCTTTTAAAACTCTCGTGTAAGCTGGAAATCACAGCCATGACCTAAAAAGGCAAAGACCAGATATGCTGAGCTCGCTGCGGATGCAGTCTGCACGCGGCCGCAGGATTTGTCACCACTCGGCCATGTTTAAAAAAGCCAGTCCAGGCAAGACAGCCACAGGCTCCTGCCTGCAGGTGATCACGCACACACTTCACACTGCCTTATGGCTTTTGCAGAGCAAGTGCATATAGCCCGGTCTTGTGTGACCTTCACAGCCAATATTCATTATAATCCCCTCTCACCAATATTGAAAACAGATGCTCAGGGGATCGGTGACTCGCCCAGTGTCAAAGCGCCAGGTCCAGATCAAGGCCTTGCAGATCAGGTCTTCTGTGACGCTTCCAATCCCAGGCTGCTTTCACTTCAAGTGGACACGTCCTTCATGTCCCGCGGATCGCCACCTCTTCCCTCCTGTCCACGTAGCTGAGAAGGAAGGAGCTGGCAGGCAATGCCCTTCCAGGTGGGCTACAGGGAAGGTTCTTTTCTCATTAGGTTGATCCCTTGGCTTCCCTAGTACAATGGGGAGCTGTTGAAAAGAAAGAATGGAAACGAGGTAATGATCCTGGAGCCTCATGGAAGGGCCGCAGCCAGCTTTCCACTGATGAAAGGACACAGGACTTCCCAAAGTTTTCATGGCAAAACGTCCATCCAGCGACTAAGGAAACAGGATGGACGCACGCGTGCAGGAGAGAAATCACTTGGCAGTCACTGGAAGAGCAGGCTGTGAGGGGAACGGCAAGGACAGAGAAGGGAATGTTCACAGGATAGAAATTCACAGGACAAGAAGGGTTCCAAGTCAGAAGCGAAACACTTTACACATTACAGAGACTCTACTGCAACCGGACAGACCAGGACTGGGCTCGGTCGGCCACATTCTGCTCCCACACGTTGCTTCCTTAGACTGTCAGGGAAGGGAGGGCAGCCACTGGGAGGGGCCAAGGTCACGGGCCTGCTAATTCTTTCCTAGAGTCTGTTCTGTTTTCTGTCAGCAGTAAGGAAATACATTCTAGCAAATGACATCCAGTAACACTCTAATTAATGGCAGTATTTTGTGCTCTGACATGCAGGGAGAAATCACTTCCAGATGGAGAAAATGAAAGCTATTTACACACACACACAAAATCCCTTTAAGGAAATTTGTATTTCCCAAAGGTGTGGAACTTCGAGGGTCCAAGAGGCTATTCTGATGAATACTAAACTGGGAATTTTTATTTAATATATAAAATGTAATCGAACCCGTCATGTAGGCCAGCATTCCACGTGCCCATGTTTCTAAGGCTTTTGCTTAAATGGCCCAGTGCAGCTCTATTTTATTTTTAGGAATCTGACTTGGAGTTGGCAAGAAGTGTGAGACACTTGCTGTCACCCTCAAGCAGGCAGGTTGTGGCAGGTTATTCCGAGTGCTCTTCCTGGGGAAGGAATCCCATCTCCAGCTGTGCACTTGCGGCATTTCCCCTGACATTCTGTCAACAGGGAACCAGGTCTCCCTATCCGAAGGCAATTCAGGAAGGGTTCGTGCCGTACCCTGCATCAGGCAGCAGCCTCGGACCTGCCCTGCGTGCCCTGTGTTGGTCATGCTGGTCTCGGCTGGTCTGCTCTCAGTCCTGTCTGATCTGCATGGAGAAGCCACCCTAGATGTAAGAAATCAGGCACCCCTTCTCGGGGATGGGCAGAGTCCTGGGTACTGGCTCTTTGTTCTTCCAGAGAGGAAGGAGTGGCGGTAGTTAGCTTCAAACCCTGAGCTGGGTTTGGAGATCAGAACCCTTGTCCACTACGCCTCCTGTTTTACTGTTGGAGTCCACACAGAATGTTCTCTGGCCGAGGCACCACTAAGCCAGCTTTCAGAGAAGTCCCCATAGTAAGAGCAGATTGAACCCTTTATTGATTATACAAATTATCACTATGTATTTTAAACCCAACGTGACTTCAAAGTTGCTTGTTTTTTGGTTTTTAAAGGGGCTAGAGAAAATGGACCGAGGGGAAGGAATGGGCACAATATCTAGGTTTGGCTGAATCACAGAGCTGTTAGCTGCTGCTTTCATCCATGGGTGCTCCTTTTACTTTATTTTTTTTTAGGGAGTCTTGCTCCGTCGCCCAGGCTGGAGTGCAATGGCATGACCTCGGTTCACTGCAGCCTCTGCCACCCGGGTTCAAGCAATTCTCCTGCCTCAGCCTCCCGAGTAGCTGGGATTCCAGGTGCCTACCACCACGCCTGACTTATTTTGTATTTTTAGTAGAGACAGGGTTTCACCATGTTGGCCAGGCTGGTCTCAAACTCCTGACCTCACGTGATCCACCTGCCTTAGCCTCCCAAAGTGCTGGGATTACAGGCATGAGCCACCGTGCCCGGCCTATTTTTTTTTTTTTTAACAGAGATGGGGTCTCACTCTGTTGCCCAGGCTTGTCTTGAAGTCCTGGGCTCAAGCAATCTTCCCACCTCAGTCTCCCAAAGCGTGTGAGCCACCGCACCTGGCCTAGGGTGCTCCTTTGATATGTTATTTTTGAAGTGATGTTAATAAATAAAGCTTCTGCTTGGGGTTTGGTCATCAAAACAAGAAGAATCCTAATTAGTATGTTCAGAGCCCAATTCCTGGCATGGTCCCCACCAACAAAAGTTGAGTCTTACTATCTTCCAGACTGGAGTGCAGTGGTGGGACGTCGGTTCACTGCAACCTCCGCCTCCTGGATTCGAGTGATTCTCCTGCCTCAGCCTCCCCAAGTAGCTGGGACTACAGGCACCCACCACCTGCCTGGCTTTTTTTTTTTTTTTAATTTTTAGCAGAAACGGGGTTTCACCATGTTGGCCAGGCTGGTCTCGATCTCCTGACCTCAGGTGATCCGCCCACCGCGGCCTCCCAAAGTGCTGGGATTACAGGCGTGAGCCACCTCGCCCGGCCCAACCCAAGTTTAAAATGAAAGCTGTTGTAAGTAAAGAATCCACCACGCTGGTACCAGCTCAAGTGCAATGTCGGCACACTTTTAGCTTAGAGTCAGAAACACAGGCACGCATGAAAACGTGCGGCAGGAGCCCTTCCACAAAGCAAACCTCTCTGCTGCAATGGCTCTAAACGAGGTGCAAACGTTATAATTACCTACGGGACTTTTAACCTGTATGCCAGGCCCCATCCAAACTTAACGGACTCAACATCTCCAGGCATGGTTTTTTTTTTTTTTTTTTTTTTTTTTTGAGATGGAGTCTCGCTCTGCCACCAGGCTGGAGTGCAGTGGTGCGATCTTGGCTCACTGCAGCCTCCACCTCCCGGGTTCAAGTGATTCTCCTCCCTCAGCCCCCCGAGTAGCTGGGATTACAGGCACCCACCACCACAGCCAGCTCATTTTTGTATTTTTAGTAGAGACAGGGTTTCACCATGTTGGCCAGGATGGTCTGGATCTCCTGAGCTGGTGATCCACCCACCTCGGCCTCCCACAGTGCTGGGATTCCAGGCGTGAGCCAGTGCGCCAGGCTGGCATCTGTAGTTTTTAAAAGGCCCCAGGTGGTTCTGCTGCACACCCCCAGAAGAGAAACACAGCGCCTTTACACAGTACTCAGTCCCCATCACCTTCACACAGTACTCAGTCTCCATCAAGGAGACACTGAACAGAACTCCTACTGACATCCATTGGCTCCTTGGGGATTACTGACAATGTAACAAATCAAGGCAGCAACTTCCCAGGCTGTGACCACCAACTGTGGAGAACAGGAGCTTGACAGCTCAATGCTGTGATGGAACCGTCCGGAAAACGACTCCTCACCAACGAACCAAAAAGAGAAGTGGGGATCTGTACACAAACGCTGGGAGTGACAAGAACCAGGTGCGGGAGTCCACTGGCTTTCCCAGCTCTCCCAGGTCGAGGACAGACGGCTGAACTGGCTGTGCTATTTGGAGGTGGGCCCCATCGCCCCTTCTCAACTGTACAGCGCAGGCTGCGTAACCACAGAAACCCCGTGGGCTGGGGGCCTTCTACAGGGCTTCCCGGGGGCTCTCCTGACCCCCTCCCTGCCCTTGTCTTATTTGGAATATTTTCCTCACAGATCTCAACTAAAGGCTGCACGTCCTCCTCACACCACTTTTCTCCTCCACATTCTCGAATTTGAGAGCTCGATGCATGAGAGTCATACTGGCTAGCAAGGACATTCTGGAAGCTGATGAAGAAACGAGGCTCAGGGTCAGAGCTGGATGGTGTCGGGGAGAAGGGCTGGCACAGAGGGCAGGGGCACAAAGCAGTGGTTATGCTGGGAAACAAGGTGGGGACGAGGAAATCAGGTTTCCAGGCAGATTTTCAAACCTTGTTCCTACTGTATGGCTGTTATGAGTTTTACAGATTTTCAGGAAATTTCCTCTGTCCTGAAAACTTTTTGAGACAGGGTCTTGCTCTGTCACCCAGGCTGGAGTGCAGTGGCGTGATCTCCGCTCAGTGCAGCCTCCGCCTCCCGGGTTCAAGTGATTCTCCTGCCTCAGCCTCCCCAGTAGCTGGGATTATAGGAATCTGCCACCACATCTGGCTAATTTTTGTATTTTTAGGTGAGACAGGGTTTTGTCCTGTTGGCCAGGCTGGTCTCGAATTCCTGACCTCAGGTGATCCACCCGCCTCAGCCTCCCAAAGTGCTGTGATTACAAGCGTGAGCCACCACGCCCGGTCAAGTTTTTTTATTTTTGGTTTCACCAGGTTGCCCAGGCTGGTCTCCAACTACTGAGCTCAAGCAATCTGCCCACCTCAGCTTCCCTAGCAGTTGGGACTACAGGTGCATGCCACCACACCTTGCAAATTTTTATTTTTGTAGAGGTCTCTATGTTGCCTGGGCTGGTCTCGAACTCCTGGGTTCAAACGATCCTCCTGCCTTGGCCTCCCAAAGTGTTGGGACTACAGGCATGAGCCACTGTGCCTGTCAAGATATCATTCTTGAGCAAAAATGGGCAGCAACAACAGTGGTTGGCTGTAGCTGTGGTCATGGTTAACTGAGGCTTGGCTTCAAGGGAACCGAGTGAATCAGGATAACGGCTCGATATGCTGCCTGTTCTCTGGATGCAGGATGATGCGAGAGGCCGGGAGCAGTCTCTTCGGCAAGCCCTGCTGCAGCGAGCCCGTGGTGGACAGCAAGGGCAGGCAGGGGCAGGCTGCGTGCCAGGCCAGGCTCTCAGCCTGGTGTTTAAGGTCCATATTCTGCTCCTGAGGCATCCAGAATCCCAGGCTCCTTCTTGTAACACAGGAACACAAAACCCCGGGCTCCTTCTCATGACACAGGAACATATAAATGGGACACTGCACATCACCTTTGCTATTTCAGATGACGCTGGCAAGTGCTGCGGACCTGAAGATGAGTGGGCAGAAAGGGATTCGAGGGGATGGACTTCTGAGTGTTCCCATGGCTTCATCGGATGAGAAAGCCTAGGAAACGTTTTCCAAGTGAACTTCCTGGTTTCCCTTCCCTAGAAGCCAGGAGCAGAGTGGGAGTAAAGAATTGGAGGAAGGGGCTGGGCGCGGTGGCTCACGCCTGTAATCTCAGATACTCAGGAGGCTGAGGCAGGAGAACTGCTTGAACCCAGGAGGCAGAGGTTGCAGTGAGCCTAGATCGTGCCACTGCACTCCGGCCTGGGTGACAGAGAGAGACCCCGTCTCTAAAAGAAAAAAAAAAAAAGAAGGAAAGAATCTGCTCACACAGCCCGGCGAGTGTGCCAGGCAGAGCCACTGTCAGATCTGGGTCTGCCCTTACCCAAGTCAGGAGCCCCAGGGCAGACAGGACACCTGCTTGAAGGCCTGGCACATACGCCCTTCCTGGGTGACAGATACAGAGGACATCTCTCCTTTGGAGACAACTGAGAAACCGTGGGAACACAGGGATAACTGGCCATGTAAGGTCATGACAAGCAGCAGAAACAAAATATGGGCCAGGAAACTGGGATTTCCATGGGAATACGCCTGGTTCCACAGCCTCCATGAAGAGCCTGTCACCTGCCACTTCATTAACTCAGGCCCTAGGGCCAAGCCCAGAGATGGGAGAGGAAACTCAGCTTTGGCAGAAGGGGAAACCTCGGCCGGCCACAGAGGGAGGGAGGACGGCGGGAGGAGGGAGGACGGCGGGAGGAGGGAGGAGGAGTGAGACCCAGGCATCCTTGTTCAAGTTGCCTGGATGGGTGGGTGCACGGTGGGGCCCGTGTGTCAGAGGGTGCGACTGCCATGGGGAGGCTACACGAGTCAAGGGCAGCTGAGGGACCTTCCCCCCGCTGCTGCCTCTGCTTCGGGAACCAGAGATCGTTGAAACCGCCCTCAGAGCCCAGCCCTTGCTCAGCATCTCCGATTAGGGCAGGAAGTGAGACAGGGCCTGGGAGAGACTCTGACAACCCACATGTCCCCGAAAGCGTGAAGACCGACGATGTGAGAGTGCCGGGAGCACAGGAGGGGTTGGGGGCTTCTGGGGAACGGGGTGCTGAGGGTGGCCGGCCAGGAGCAGGGCCCCTGCTGCCGCTACAGCCTCTTTTTAATGAGCTTCTCCAGCTTGCGGATGCGGGACGACTCTTGCTCTGGTGTCGGTGCCGTCAGGGACAGTGAGCTGGAGCTTTCCGCCCCTGAGGGCGGTGCGGGGAGCCGCTGGCGCAGGAGTTCCAGCATGCTGCTCTGCTCGCTCCTCTTCAGCCCCTGAGGTTGAGAGAGGAGAACCGTCAGGAAGTCTGGGCCAGAACGGCCCACAGGGGAGAGCGTGGTACCTGGGTACGGGGTCAGCAGAGGCTCTGCAGACAGCATAGTTACTCCAGGCTGACGGCGAACCCGGTCCTCAGGGGACTCACCAGCCCTGGGTAGTAGTGTGGGAGAAAAAAGAGAGGGGAAGAAACGGTAAAGGAAGAGAAAGAAGGGGCTGAGAGAGGAGAAGGGGCAGGTCAAGAAGGGGCTGAGAGAGGAGAAGGGGCAGGTCAAGAAGGGGCTGAGAGAGGAGAAGGGGCAGGTCCAGACGGTGGGAAGGACAACATTCCTGTCCTCATCCCCCTGCCCCATCCTCCCTGTGCGGGGGCCTCAGCAGGGCATGCAGGGCCTGTGGGAATCCCGAGGTGCACAGGCCTGGGGCCACCCTCCTCCAGAGGCTTCTCCGAATCTGGTTTGCTCGTGGAGCCAGGCACGTGCATTTTGAGAAAGCCCCCCAGGACCTATATCCCAACCCCCTGGTTGAGAACCGCTGAGTGTGAGGTGGATGAGCAGGTGTTGATGAAACAGGACCCTGCACTAACCTTCATGTCCAGTATCTTCTGGAAGGTTTCTGTGTTGCAGTCTGTGAGGAGTTTGATGTAGTTGTCAACAAACACCACCAACGGTTCATGAGGGGCCATCACTACCTATGGCAGAGGAGACAGGAGCAGGCCCCTCAGGAAAACTCATTCCTCACTTGCCAGCCGAGCACAAAATGGATGCTGTGAGGTTTCCTTAAGCAGCAGCAACCCGACCTACAAACCCAGTGGCCCATCTCGTCACATGCCACTAGAGCAATGTCCTAAATTTGCTGAATCCTAAATACACCTGCGCTCCTTTGTGACGTACAGGTTCCTGGACCCCTCCTCTAAAGACTGTAATTCAGTAGGTCTGGGTGGAGTCCCAGGTGGTTTTTAAACTATCGGAACCATTTGGGAAACCCTGCGTGAGAGGGTCCCTGCTGGAGGGTTTCACGGGTACACGGTACTTGATCCTTCTGCCTTGATGTACCGTGATTCCTGAGAAATGGGTGGCAAAAAGAGCTGGTATAAGTAAGTGGATTTCTGCAAAAACAAAAATGCCAAAGCTGCCTCACCTTTTTGAAGATTTAAAATCTGGAACTTCACGTAAGGACTCAGTTAAACCATCAATTAACACACAAACAAAGGAACTGCACTGCAACCCTCATTCATTTCCATTTGGTTCTGGAATGCAGTATCTGATTTTCTTTCCCCAGCAGACTGATTTGTTTTGAATTCCTGAGGCTGAACCAAAGAGTGGCGAGGAGGAGTTCACTCAGGCATCCTCTGCAGATAATTCCCAGACGGCATGCTCTCCTCCCCAGCAGTAAGCAGCAGGGGAAGAACAGGATGAGGCAGCTTCATCCTCACCTACACGAGCCGCTCCATCCTCACCCCACGGGCTGCTCCACCCTCACCTCCACGGGCTGCTCCACCCTCACCCCCACGGGCTGCTCCACCCTCACCCCCACGAGCTGCTCCACCCTCACCCCCACGGGCTGCTCCATCCTCACCCACATCCCACCAGTGACTGATGCCCTGCTGCCACTTCCTACTCCTGCCGTCCCTGAGTTATCTGGTTTAGGAAGTGTCCTGAAGAGCTTACAAGTCCTGGGCTTTTAAGACCATATCGCCACAGGACCATCTGTTCTCCAGGCCTCATCCCCGCTCTTCCAAATAGCTGGAAACTAGAGGCAGATGCTCAGGGCTTCAGACGTTCCTCACCCAAAGTACAGTCTTTTGTTAAATGGAGCTTTTAAAAATCCATTTGCTGATTAGATTCAGTTACTACAACATCTGTTCAGAGTTCATTTAAAGTGGCAGAGTACAGAAAGCCAGAAAGGCTGATGTGGAAGGGAGGAACTGAGGGCTGTGCCTGACACTCGCGCTGAGAAGCAGAGCCCTGACACACACTGATTCACAGTGGCGACCACCTACCCTCCAAGCTTGACTGCATCTGACGACAAGAGAATCCCACAACAACAAGAAATTCATTTGTGAGAAGGAATTCCTGAGCCCCAATAACTATCCACAGACTTTCAACAATATCTGATGAGGCCAAAATCCAGTCCAGCCCAAGAACGTGGACCGTGCTTTGAGGCTGGTGAGGACGGGACCTACCCTGTGCTTTCAAAACCAAAGCTTCTCGTAAAAAGAGATTGAATAACCGGCCCCTTTTAACAGAATCCCCGGGAAAGCCACAAGCCATCACCTTGAGGATCATCTCAGCCCGGGTCATGCCTTTGACAACAATCTTGGTGTAGCTGGCGGGTGCCTTCCTCACCACCTGCGAGCCAATGGAGGGGAGATCGAGCAGGACCATCTTCAGCGAGTGGGTGTCCAGCAGCAGCTGTGGAGCAAAGCAGAGCATTACCGGCCCCTTCCAGCGACCCAGTGCCGAGTGGACCCAGGCCAACGAGTCATGTTTTTCTCATTACACACGTAACACATTCTCGTTGCAAAAAATTTGGGAAATAAACAGAAATATTCAAGAAAAAAATTATGTATAATTCCCATTACCTAGGAAAAATGACATCAAGGAGCCAGCCTACGTGTACGTCTATAAAAAACTGAATCGGGGGCTAGGAGCCGTGGCTCCCACCTGTAATCTCAGCACTTCAGGAGGCCAGGCAGCAGGATCGCTTGAGCTCAGGAGTTTGAGACCAGCCTGGGCAACACGGCAAAACCCCGCCTCCACAAAAAATGCAAAAATTAGCCAGGCGTGGTAGTGCGCACCTGTGGTCCCAGCTACTGGGGAAGGCTGAGGTGGGTGGATCGCTTAAGCCTGGGAGGTTGAGGCTGCAGGGAGTTAAGATTGTGCCACTGTAACTCTCCCAGCCTGGGTGATAGAGGGAGATGCTGTCTCAAAAACAAATCACAACCCCTCCATAAAACTAAATCAGAATTATACTGTATGTATATACCATTTTATAACCTGTTTTTCTCACTTAATATATACAATTTTTATATTCTACTGTCCCATCTTTGTAGTCTTTAAAAGCGAATCATGGTTTTTAACTGCACTCTAGCCTGGGCCACACGGCAAGATCCTATCTCTAAAGAAGAATCGTGATTTTTAATGGTTCTGCAGTACTCTGTGATGTGTGCGGCGGTGTAAACTTTAAGATCTTTCCAATGGAATGGACCCATTTACACCTCTGCCAGCACCAGAGGTGATAAGGGTGTAGACTGCACCCTTATCAGCACTGAAAACTCATCAAATCCTGATTATTCATTACGCAAAAAAGAGTAACTCATTATCGTTGTACTTTGAATTTCTCTGGGTGTTATTGAGGATGTAGATTTACCCAAATGTAAACATTGTATCCTGGCAACAATCTACCTTTTCCTCTGTTTGTTCTGGTTCTCTGGGATGCCAATTATCTAGAAGGACACCCATAGTCCTGAAGGCCCACTGACTGCTGGGAATGACATGAGGAACGTTTTGTCACATTTAATCTGCGTAAGGCCTCACGTACCCTGGAGGTTATTTATCGTTCCCATTTTACAGATGAGAAAAAGTTCCAGAGGATTAACAACTCGCCAGACTCATCTCATGTGACGGACAGGGATAGACAAAAGGTAGACGGGAAGCTGGAATTCCATTTCCGGTTGCCAGGTAAGGGGTTAGACAAAAGGTGGATGGGAAGCTGGAATTCCATTTCCAGTTGCCAGGTAAATGTCCCTGGGTGGTTTTGGCGTCGAGCTCACACTGACTCCTGCTGACTGCCCTGCTCTGCTGCCGCCGTTGCTTTTGGCAACCAGGGAGCAGAGAAATGGCTGAAGCCAGAAGGGTGTATTCTGGCCTGTTGAGATGGCTTAGGAGAATGGAACCACATGGTCACCAAGCAGACAACGGCAGCAGTGGGGTGACAGCTCCCAATGCCACCACTAAATTCCAGTGGTAACGGCCAAACGTATGTTCAGGGCAAGGCCTGTACTCTGCTACTGCCTGCTTCTTTGGGAAAGCCCTCTGTCGTCCTATCAGGCAGGTGAGAAATGGGACTCTTCAGGCCCCGTGACACTTTGCATCCTCCAATTTCCCATCTACTTTGCTTTGGACAGAAGAACGAATGACTAAAGAGAAACTAAGTAATGAGAGATACTGTGAACTTAAGGGTTAAGGCAATTATAATTTTGACAGGGGTAGAAACGTGGGGAAGACGTCAGTGTTTCATGTGGAATAATTTAGATGTGGTAAGGAATTACACCAAGGTCAGAGCAATTTCATGTGGTTCTGCGGCTAGTCAAAGGCCTGCACCACACAGGTCATTCAACTGCAGCCAGCAAAGTGCAGGGCATTTTGGACCTTTCTGGATTTCCAGAGATGGAAATTCTTACTATCCCAGTGTCTGCTTTGTTGAAAAGGCCAAGGGCTCAGAGAAAATGGTATGTAAACCTCCAGGAGGGGGAATGGCACAGATTGCTCAAGCCCACATGAACAGTCTGGCGTGAGCACTTTCCAGAACTACAGTGGAAATGACTGCTGCTCTTCCTCCGAGAAGCCCAGTACAAGCCTCTAAAGCATTCCAGGTGGATTAAATTCTTACATATACAAAGAAAAGCTTTAAGAAGAAAATACAGGGCGTGGTGGCTCACGCCTGTAATCCCAGCACTTTAGGAGGCTAAGGCAGGTGGATCACCTGAGGTCAGGAGTTTGAGACCAGCCTGGCCAACATGGAGAAACCTCATCTCTACTAAAAATACAAAAATTAGCCGAGTGTGGTGGTGAATGCCTGTAAACCCAGCTACTCGGGAGGCTGAGGCAGGAGAATCGCTTGAACCTGGGAGGTTTGCACTACAGCCTGGGTGATAGAGCAAGACACTGTCTCACCGGGGCAACAGAGAGACACCCCCTCCCCAAAAAAAAAAAAAAAAAAAAAAAGAAAAAAGAGAAGAAGAAAATACAGAGATTATTTTCATTGCTTATAGGTGGAGAAGAATGTCAACCATGAGAAAAAATGAACCACCTACCCTAAAATGAAAGGAGTCTATATTAGAAGAAACAAACAAAGTAAAACACAAGACACAAATCAGGAGAAAATATGTGCAACATTGACAAGGGAACGGGGTTCAGAACATGAAGATTCCTACACATCAACAGGAAAAGGACAAACTATCTCAACAGTGACACAACAACAGGCAAACACTACCAACACTGGATTCACAACAGGCAAACACTACCAACACACTTCAGAGGCCAGGCAGCAGGATCGCTTGAGCTCAGGAGTTTGAGACCAGCCTGGGCAACACGGCAAAACCCCGCCTCCACAAAAATGCAATTAGCCAGGCGTGGTAGTGCGCACCTGTGGTCTCAGCTACTGGGGCCGAGGTGGGTGGATTTGCCAAGCCCGGGAGGTTGAGGCTGCAGGAGCCAAGACTGTGCCACTGCACCTCCAGGGCCTGGGGTGACAGAGGAGATGTTGTCTCAAACAAACTGCCAACCCCTCCACAAACCAAATCAGAAATCACACTGTATGCATACCATTTTACAACCTGTTTTTTTTTCTACTTAATATATACAATTTTTATATTCTACTGTCCCATCTTTGGTAGTCTTTGGGAAGCTGACCATATTTTTAACTGCACTCTAGCCTGGCCACACGGCAAGATCCTATCTCTAAAGAAAGAATCATGACTTGAATGTTCTAGCATTTCTGTGATGTGTGCGGCGTAAATTTAAGATCTTTCAATGGAATGACCCATTTACACCTCTCTGTTGAATATCAGAGGTGATAAGGTGTAGACTGCACCTCTTATCAGCACTGAAAACCTACTAAATCCGATTATTCATTACGCAAAAAGAGTAACTTCATTATCGCTTGCATTTTGAATTTTCTGCAAGATATGATGCAGATCACCCAAACGCAAAATACTGTATCCCGGCAACAAATTCACCCTTTCCCTCTCGCTCTTGTTCTGGTTTTCTGGGATGCTAATTATCTAGAAGGACACCTGGCAGTCCCGGCCCACTGACTGCTGGGAAATGACATGAGGAACGCGAGCCACATTTAATTCATGGAAGGTTCTACTTACCCGGAGAAAGATGACGTTTCCTATTTTATACAGATGAGAAAGTTCTAGAGGACAACAACCCACAGACTCCATCTCATGATTTGACAGGATAGACAAAAGGCAGACGGGAAGCGGGAAATCATCGCCGCTGTGTATGTTGTGACAAAAGGTGATGGAAGCTGGAATTTATTTCCAGTTGCTAGGTAAATGTCTCCTGGGTGGTTTGGCGCTTCAGCCTAAAGACCGACTCCCTGCCGATCAAGTTCTGCCTGTCAGGCCGCTGGGTTTCGGCACCAGGGGAGCAGAGAATGGCTGGCTGTTGTGAAGGGTGGTATCTGGCCTGTTGAGATGGTTGGCATAGAAACGGAACTACATGGTCACTAAGCAGATACCGCAGCAGTGCGGACAGCTCTGCACCACCACCAAATCTGGAGTGCAACGGCCAAACGATGTCCGTGCGTATAGTTTGCATTTGCTACTGCCTTTGCTTCTTTGGGAAAGCCTCTGTCGCCCCAGTATCAGGCAGGTGAGAAATGGGACTCTTCAGGCCTCGTGACACTTTGCATCCTCCAATTTCCCATCTACTTTGCTTGGGACAAGAAGAACCAACGACCAAACATGAAACTAAGTAATGAGAGATACTGTGAACTTAAGGGTTAAGGCAATTATAATTTTGACAGGGGTAGAAACGTGGGGAAGACGCCAGTGTTTTAATATGTGGAATAATTTAGATGTGGTAAGTGAATTACACTAAGAGCCAGAGCACGATGTGGTTTCTATGGTTAGTCAAAGGCCTGCACCACACAGGTCATTCAACTGCAGTCAGCAAAGTGCAAGTGGCACGGATCTCTTCTCTGACTTCCAGAGATGGAAATTCTTACTATCCTGAGTGTCTGCTTTGTTGAAAAGGCTCAGAGAAAATGGTATGTAAATCCTCCAGGAGGTAATGGCATAGATTGTTTCAAGTTTCCACATGAACAGTCTGGCGGGAGACTCTCCTGGCAGAACTACAGTGGAAATGACTGGTTGCTTCTTTCTCCTAGAAGTTTAGGTATGCTTCTAGCATTCCGTGTGATTAAAATTCTTACATATATTAAAGAAAAGTTTTAAGAAGAAAATACAGAAGTGGTGGCTACGCCTGTAATCCCAGCACTTTAGGAGGCTAAGGCAGGTGGATCACCTGGAGGTCAGAGTTTGAGACTGGGCTCACAACATGGAGAATCCTTATTCTTTACTAAAAAAATACAAAATTAGCGAGTGGTGGTGAATGCCTGTAAACCCAGCTACTCGGGAGGCTGAGGCAGGAGAATCGCGAACCTGGGAGGCTTGCACCAC